TTTTTTTTTTTTTTTTTTTTTTTTTTTTTTTTTTTTTTTTTTTTTTTTTTTTTTTTTTTTTTTTTTTTTTTTTTTTTTTTTTGCATGGGAAGTCCAGAAGATAACCTAACATTACTGATTCTTGAATGAAAGAAGCACAACAACTAACCATGGAAAAACTAATTTGAGAAATAGAGGAGTTCGACATATCGAAAGATTGTAGATTCACAATCAAGCTAGAGAATTCCACCACCTCCATAACGTGCGGATCAATATGATGAAGATAGTTCTGATCAACAAGAGGGTGATCAACATATAGTTGGCCATGCCTTGATGTGAGGGGAGGCATAGTGTCCGCTCTCCACCACCCCAAGACCCTGTGGCCTAAGCAAACTCACCATGTGGCACATACGTGTGTTACAGCGAGGATGAACGTTGCGAGACGAGTGTGTTGAGTGACTTCCTTTGAAATGGGGTTTACAAAGACAATATTGGTAGGCATGGATGTGCCATTATTGCGCCCTGGCACATGCGTTGGAGGTTGGATTATACACTTGCTATCCGGTACGGAGTCTATAAATGACATGACATGACATGACATGGAACGGGAGGGTCGAATGCCTCAATAGAACTCAGATGGATGGATATTTGAGATATCCCAATATTATGAATGACATGTGGGCCCATTCTCGACGGCATGACCGAGTGAGTTGTGATGGTCGACAACACCCGTAACTTGGGATGGCGTCAAGACATATAGGTCATGCTAATTGGGAACTAAGATGATATATGAGATACAACATTGCAAAAGAGAGACATTAGCCCTGAGTAGAGAAAAGGTCGAGCCAAATGACTTGGCCTAGTGTAAAAGCAAGTCGGTTCGGTCGCAGAAGATTGAATATGCAAGCACAGACGATGTGTGTGACCAAACAAGCTTGGATTTCGCACAAATTTAAGGCGTATGACACGTGCATCGAGATACTTCCTCGCTATGTTTAGTATAGACTTGTACCTTGTGATATCTATATTCACTAGGATATTATACGACTCTTTCCTCCACTGTGGTGTCTGACAACGTGAGCTTGTGCTAGTCTGACAAGCAAGGCCTAAAAGGTACATATACAAGCCCACCTGGTGGAACCATGTGCATGTGCGTGGGTCATGTATAGGAAAGTACTCCACATCTAACCCTGCCCAGAATGGAAAGCAGAGCCCAAGGCCATACCATGATATTTTTATGAAAAGATATTTCCACCATGATTGTTTGTATTTATATTTCTCGAAAAGCCTGTATCATAATGTTTAACGTGCTCTCACATACATCAATTCAACTTATTTCATGCTCAAATCTTAATAATAGGTTTCCTAATACATGCTTTCAGTTATACTAAGAGCATAGTATTGAGATATAATATCTAGAGTATATATTATTTATAGAATATATCTTAGATATTATATCATAATATTCTTTATTTATGAATTGATTTACAGTATATTTTATTTTATTCTCAGTATTTAATTATTTTATATTTTTTTCATTTGTACTTCTTGTATCCTATTTAAAGTATATCAATATCAATGATAACACAGACCTTCCCAATTCTATTTTCTATCTCATTCTTAACATAGTATGAGAGCACCGATCTTGGTATTTTTTAAATATCAAAATATTCTCTATGGCGGAATCAGCCAAATACAGCTTCAAAAATTCGGATGTTGATTCAACACATCCTTATTATATTCATCATTCTGATCAACCAGGATATTCACTTGTTCCAATCAAATTAAATGGAACAAATTATCAATCCCGGAGTAAATCAGTTATGCATGCTCTCATTGCCAAAAAGAAAATTGGCTTCATTGATGGCACAATTGAAGAACCGTCTCAAGATGCAAATTCAATCGAATTTGAACTATGGAATCAGTGCAACGGTATGATAATATCTTGGTTAACTCATTCAGTTGAAGCAGATATCGCTGAGGGTATTATTTACGCTAAGACAGCTCGTCAAGTGTGGGTTGATCTTCACGATCAATTCTCACAAAAGAATAGTCCAGCAATTTTTCAGATACAAAGGTCTATAGGAATGATGTCACAGGTAACCATGGCACTGTCAGTATATTTCACCAAGCTCAAAGCACTCTGGGATGAATTGGAAGCATACCGCACACCATTTACCTGTAATCAACGTCAAATACATATTGATCAACGCGAAGAAGACAAGTTGATGCAACTACTCATGGGACTCAATGAATCTTATAAAACGGTGAGATCTAACATATTGATGATGACTCCATTACCTAATGTGAGGCAAGCCTATTCATTACTTGTACAAGAAGAGATGCAACGTCAGGTGACTTCTGAACCTACTGAGAATTTCTCGATTGCATCAGCAGTGCAGAAGAAAACAACATATTCAAAACTCGCGAAGGATAAATCATGTGAACACTGCAATAAAAGTGGTCATACAATTGATGAGTGTCGATTCCTTAAGTTTCAATGTAAATTTTGTGATAGAAGTGGACATACAGAATATCAATGTCAATAGAAAAATAATTCTAGAAGGGCAGTACGATTCAATTAACGCAACAATCGAGGATATCGATCATCTGCAAATATGGCCGATGTTTCTCAGTTGAATACAGAAGAACAGTCACCTAATTCCATCCCAAATTTTTCTTCTGGGCAATTACAACAGATTGTACAAGCCTTATCTGCACTCAATCATCGTCCTTTTGGTAATTCTGATAATAACATCAATGTTGCAGGTTTGTTTCCAGTATCTGCATTATCTATTAACTCTACAAGTTCTAATCCATGGATTCTCGATAGTGGAGCTACAGATCATATAGTATCCAAAGCTTCTGTTGTGACTGAACCAAAGGCTACCACCATATCTACAATAAATTTGCCTAATGGAGGGACAGCACATGTGTCACATACCGGCAATGTTTCTTTTAATCCTGACCTTAAATTAAACAATGTTTTATGTGTGCCTTCATTCAACTTAAATCTAATGTCCATCAACAAACTTACCAATGACTTGAAATGTTATGTGATCTTTTATCCTGATTCTTGTGTTATGCAGGACTTGGCTACGGGGAAGATGATTGGCTCGGGTAAACAATCCGGAGGTCTCTACCATATTTCTTCATCTCCAATCAAGTCTTCAGCAAATCATGTATCTCAGTCATCTGATTTGTGGCATTTACGCCTAGGTCATCCTTCTCCTTCTCGTTTTAAATTTCTAGCTGATTAATTGCATCCTAATAATGCTACTCTTTCTCATAATTATAGTATTTGCCCATTAGCAAAACAAACTAGGTTGTCTTTCCCAAAAAGTTCAATAACAACTCATTCTGTCTTTGATATGTTACATTGTGATGTTTGGGGACCACATAAAATTTCAACCCATTCTGGTTTGCGTTTTTTTCTCACTGTTGTTGATGATTTTACCCGATGTACTTGGGTTTTTCTTATGCAACACAAATCAGAAGTACACCATTTGTTAGTAAACTTTGTTAAATTCGTTCAAACTCAATTTCATACTACTATGAAGATAGTTAGATCAGACAATGGGACTAAGTTCTTATCTTTGCAACCATTTTTTACTTCTTGTGGCATTAAATTTCAGCGCACCTGTGTCTATACTCCACAACAAAATGGAGTCGTAGAACGTAAGCATCGTCATATCCTAAATGTAGCTAGGTCTCTTCTTTTTCAGTCACAAGTTTCACTTAATTTTTGGGGAGAATGCATTTTAACGGCTGTTTATCTTATAAATAGAACACCATCATCATTGTTATCTAACAAAACACCCTTTGAAGCACTCTACAAACGACCACCTACATTTCACCATCTTAAACTTTTTGGTTGTTAGTGTTATGCAAGTGTAGCACATCCTAAGCAAAAATTTGAACCTCGGGCAATTCCTCGTGTTTTCATAGAATATCCTTGTGGTCACAAAGGTTACAAGTTGTATGACATGCAATCTAAAAAATTCTTTATTAGTCGTGATGTTAAATTATGTGAAGATGATTTTCCTTTTTCATCAGCTTCACAGATTTTAACATTAGCTCCTTCAGCTCCCATTTTACCATTTCATGATCTACCCTACTCAAACATCCATTTTGATCCTTCGTCGTCTCCTCCGCCTCCTATTCCTTCTCCAAATTCATCAGTTCCAGATTCACCCACTAAATCTGATATTATCCCACCTGATACATCATTTCCACTCCGACGTTCTACTCGTACCAAACAACCTCCAGCTTATTATAATGATTACGAGATGTCTTCGGGAGCCAATCATTTAACCTCTAGCTCAAGTCCCAACACTGGCACCACGTATCCCCTTCATCATTACCTTTCATTCTCTTGTTTTTCTCCTACTCAACGTGCCTTTCTAGCTTTTATTACAGCCCAGACAGAACCTAAAACCTATGGTGAGACAGTTGGCAATCCACTATGGCAACAGGCTATGAATGATGAAATTGCAGCTTTGGAACGTAATCATACTTGGTCTCTCGTTCCTCTACCATCTGGCCATAAACCTATTGGCTATCGTTGGGTGTACAAGATTAAATACAATTCTGATGGTTCTATTGAACGTTATAAAGCTCGACTGGTAGCAAAGGGATACACTCAGGTTGAAGGTGTTGATTACAAAGAGACATTTTCTCCTACAGCGAAACTTACTACACTTCATTGCTTACTCACTTTTGCCGCTGCTCGAAAATGGTTCACTCATCAGTTAGATGTTCAAAATGCCTTTTTGCATGGTAATCTAGACAAGGAAGTCTATATGTCTTTACCACCAAGTATTCGCCGACAGGGGGAGAATACAGTATGTCGGCTCCATAAATCTCTTTATGGTTTAAAACAGGCTTCTCGCAATTGGTTCTCCATATTCTCTACCACTATACAAAATGCAGGCTACACTCAGTCCAAAGCAGATTACTCTTTATTTACTAAGAGTAAAGGTACTTTCACTGCAGTTCTTATCTATGTTGATGATATTCTGTTGACAGGCAATGATCTCAAAGAAATTCAACATCTCAAGACTAGTTTACTCGAGAAATTTCTTATCAAAGATTTAGGAAATTTGAAATATTTTCTAGGTATTGAATTTTCTAGGTCTAGAAAAGGAATCTTTATGTCTCAAAGGAAGTATGCTCTAGACATTCTTCAAGACACAAGTCTTACAGGAACACATCCAGAAAAATTTTCTATGGAGCAAAATCTGAAGCTTTTTTCAACAGAATGAGAAAAGTTGAATGATCCAAGTAAATACAGTGACGGTTGGTTGGCAGATTAATATATTTAACCGTTACTAGGGCTGACATTGTGTATTCAATTCGTATGCTTAGTCAATTTATGCATGAACCAAGAAAACCACATTGGGAGGCAGCTCTTCGAGTTCTAAGATACATCAAAGGTACTCCTGGTCAAGATTACAAGCATATTGCGATTCAGACTGGGGTGGTTGTCAAACTTCCAGACGGTCTATTTCTGGGTTCTGCATTTTCCTTGAAAATTCAATTATTTCTTGGAAGTCAAAAAAACAAACCAATGTGTCCAGATCATCAGCCGAAGCCAAGTATTGAGTTATGGCAAATACTTGTTTAGAGTTAACTTGGTTAAGATACATTCTCCAAGACTTGAAAGTTTCACTGTCCGAACCAGCATTATTGTACTATGATAATCAAGCAGCATTACACATACCAGCCAATCCAGTTTTTCACAAATGTACGAAACACATTGAAATAGATTGTCATATAGTTCGAGAAAAATTACAAGTTGGAATCATCAAACCGTATTATGTTTTGACTAAAATGCAATTGGCAGATATTTTCACTAAAGCTTTGGGAAGACATCAATTTTATTTTTTGAAAGACAAGTTGGGTGTGATTGACATACACTCTCCAACTTGAGGGGGAGTATTGAGATATAATATCTAGAGTATATATTATTTAGAGAATATATCTTAGATATTATATCCTAATATTCTTTATTTATGATTTGATGTACAGTATATTTTATTTTATTCTCAGTATTTAATTATTTTATATTTTTCTCATTTATACTTATTGTATCCTATTTAAAGGATATCGATATCAATGATAACACAGACCTTCCCAATTCTATTTTTTATCTCATTCTTAATACATAGGTAAATTTGAAGATCTAAGGCGCCATTACATGGTATGCATGACATTTTTTACTCAGGTTCAGGTCTTCCAAAAATTCCAAATGTTATGAAATTCTATCTTACGTCACGAAAAACACTATGATAAGCGGTGAAATTGGATAAAAAAAAATGAAGCAAAATAAGTCAATTCGAGCCATTTGGGGCAAAGCCAGTCAAATTGAACTAAACCAGAAGTTAGGTCAACCTTCTTCCCAGCGATTTTATCTTTGAATTTTCCCTCTCCTCACGTAACTTCTGCCATTGTTATCTCTCGAGTCTGGCCCCAATTGCTTCTGCTCCCTTAAACAAGCTTGAAGTTCTCTACACACTGAGTTCAACAAACCAAGAATCATGTCATTTGGTTGAGTTTCGAGAAAGATATAAGCTTCAAAAGTCGAGGTGAAACTCACAAACCCTTACCTGTTGAGATCAAACTATAATATCCGTATGTATATATAACAGATATGACATGTCATATGAGGAAATGAGCAAATATCGTAGTATTTTTATTGGGAATGTTTGCTTAATCCACCCCATAGTGGTAGTTCTCTATTTATAATCAAATAAATTCCAAAGATATGGGAATGGTAATAAATAGAAAGAACAATATATGGAAAGATACCTATGTAAGAAGGAAAATATAATATATATGGTAAAGTATAATTTAGTATTAAATATATATATTTTTTTAACCCTTATATTCACTTACCTTAATAAGGAAGACAAAATAGAATGCCTATGCATGGACAATATTATGACCATCAAGTCCAAGACTACTCTCTAGGCCCAATTAAAGCCCATGTCGGAAATAGAAAAAGCCCATTTCGGAAATAGAAGAAGCCCATTTGATTTACGAAATGGACTTAGCTTCCGTACTGCCATGCATACAACTTTCTTTTTTCTTAAAGGTTTATTATGTTCGTAGCATTTGAGTTTTAAAAAGATAATAATTATTATTATAGAAGGAAAATATCTCGTCACGCTTTCGTCAGCTAAATAAACGATAAATAATTTATTCTTTCAATAAAATAAAGAGAGATGAAATAATGAATTGTGTCTTTTTATAAAAAAAAATTGAGGGAAATTAAGGGAAAGAGAGCCACGTGGCAACGACCAAGCATCATTGGTAGTAGGTAAAATGGAGACCGATATTGATCTTGGAACACGACCACATAAAGTAGAAGCAGCACGACCTCATTTTTTTCCTTTTTTTCAATTTCCTTTTCTTTGGGACTAAATAAAATAAAGCCCCAAAATCCGTTAGTGAGACCACCCAAATTTAGAAATATCTAAATTAATTTAAAAAATAATTATAAAATAGTAAAAATTTCGTAAGCGAATATTTTTGAAACAAGTATTTTTTTTTTTTTTAAAGAATTTAAGAATATTAGTGAAATTTTTAAAAATAAATATTTATAGACAAAAATATAAAATTGGTATTTTAATTAATTCAGCTAAAAATAAAATAAAATCATATATTTAAAAAGGAATGATTTTAGGGTTAGATAAAGGCACTTTGATAAAAGTAGGGCACCCAATACGAGAGTTTATGGGGCCCACCAATCACCTAAATCTCCCACTCTCACCAACCCCATTTTCTCACCAACCACTCCCCCCTCCAAAATTTTGCTGATTAAGTTATTAATAATCTTTTCAAAACCGGATTATCACTAAATAACTCCACTTGTCCAAACCTTATTGCTCATTCCACCTCAATTAGCGTCTTAAACACATTTTAATTACTTCTTAATTTTTAAAAGTTTTTAATTTTTTTTTTTAAATATAAGTTTTTAATGTGAATAAAAACCTATAAAAAGCTTTACGGCTTTACTTATTTACATTTAAATTTTCAATACTATTTTTAAAATTTAAATTAAAAGAAAAAAAAACATAAATCATTTCACCCTTATTTTAAAAATACCCATTAACTCAAAAATTTTGAATTCTAAAAAAAAATGCCTTAGACACCATTTATCTGCACCATTTTCTTCTATTTCCTTTTTTTTTTTTTTTTGCATATTATTTTTTTTTCTTTTTAATAACTTAATAGTTAAATATAAGATAGAATACTCTTAGAATTTAAAATTTAAAAAAAAAAAAACTCATTAATCAATATTGTACCTAATTTTTTTGCATAGTGGAATCTTTAATAATACATTTTATATTCTTATTTCTTACGTGTCTTTCTCTACTCATACCTTTTTGTTTAAATATTTAATTTCTGTCCATACTTTAATTTTGAAATTTGGATTTATTAATGAAATCCTTAATACATTTAATTATCAAAATAGAATTAATTTGAAAATTATAACAGTATAATAAATAAAATAAAAAATGAAAATTCCCATTTACTCCCTTCACCAACCCCGGTTTTTGTCCCGTCTCCAATCCAACTCCCTATATCTTCATCTTCATTTCCGCTCATCCAATTCAGAAGAACAATAAAATCTTCCATTAAGAGATTATTCGTTCTTCTTCATCTTCTGAACTCCCCAAATCCGCCATTGAAATGGCTGTTGAAGCTCTTCAGAATGACTTCATTTTCCGCTCCAAACTGCCCGATATTTACATTCCTAACCACCTTCCTCTGCACTCCTATTGCCTACACGAAAACCTCGCCAAAATCGGCCACCGGACTTGTCTAATCAACTCCGTCACCGGCGAATCCTTTACCTACCACGACGTCGACCTCGCCGCACGCAAGGTCGCCTCGGGATTGAACAAACTCGGCATTGCTCAAGGCGATGTGATTATGCTCATCCTCCAGAATTCGCCGGAATTCGTCTTCGCTTTCCTTGGTGCGTCGTATCGCGGCGCGATTATGACGGCGGCGAATCCTTTCTTCACGGCGGCGGAGATCGCAAAGCAAGCAAAAGGATCGAATGCGAAATTAATCGTGACGCAATCGTCGTATTATGAAAAAGTGAAGGAAATAACAGAGGAATTACCTGATGTTAAAATCATGACCGTCGATTCTCCGCCGGATGGTTGTTTATCGTTCGCCGATCTAATTCAGGCCGACGAACGAGAGATGCCGACTGTTGAAATCAATCCGGACGATGTGGTTGCGCTGCCGTATTCCTCTGGAACCACCGGATTGCCGAAAGGAGTGATGCTTACACACAGAGGATTAGTGACGAGTGTGGCTCAGCAAGTGGACGGCGAAAATCCGAATCTGTACTATCGAAATGAGGACGTGATTCTGTGCGTTTTGCCGCTCTTCCATATCTATTCGCTTAATTCCGTCCTCCTCTGCGGATTACGGGCGGGGACCACCATTTTGATCATGCCTAAATTCGAGATCGGTTCGCTTTTGCAATTGGTGCAGAAATTCAAAGTGTCGATTGCGCCGATTGTGCCGCCGATTGTTTTGGCCATCGCGAAGTCGCCGGACCTCGATAAGTACGATCTTTCGTCTATCAGAGTTATCAAATGCGGCGGCGCTCCGCTTGGGAAGGAGCTTGAAGATACCGTGAGAGCCAAGTTTCCCAAGGCTGTGCTCGGCCAGGTACTGCAAATTCATTTTTAAAAAAAAATTAATAAATTAAAAATCATTTTAAACTTTAAATTACATTAAAATTTAGATATAAATTTGTAATAATTATATTGAATTCTGGAAATTTGTGTTTATTATGTGTAATTATGATTATTTTTTTATTGGTATTTAATAAAAAAATATCTATTTTTGGAAGGATAATTAAAAGACTTAAATGGAGACGACACCCCTAAGTCAAAGCAGAAATCCACGTGTAATTTTTTAATTACAATAAAATTAATTAATTTTCATTTTTTTTAACGTTATATAATTTTTAAAAAAATTTAAATATATTTTAGGGACTGTTAAATATAAATTTAAGGTTGAATAATTAAAAATAATTTAAATACAAAACTAAAGCTAACTAAATTTATAATTTAATTTTTGGATCAGATGTAATCCTAGCCGTTGGATCATCAAGATTGATCAGAGAAAATTCTGTTGATTGCAGGGATACGGAATGACGGAGGCCGGCCCAGTGCTAACGATGGGTTTAGCATTTGCAAAGGAGCCATTTCCGATGAAACCCGGCGCCTGCGGCACCGTCGTGAGAAACGCCGAGATGAAGATCGTCGACACCGAAAACGGCGGTTCGTTGCCTCGAAACACGCCGGGAGAGATCTGCATCAGAGGCGATCAAATCATGAAAGGGTATCTGAACAATCCGGAGGCGACAGCCGCCACAATCGACAAGGATGGGTGGTTGCACACCGGCGACATCGGATTCATCGACGACGACGACGAGCTGTTCATCGTCGATCGATTGAAGGAACTTATAAAGTATAAGGGATTTCAAGTGGCTCCGGCGGAAGTGGAAGCTCTGTTGCTCACTCATCCGGCAATCTCTGATGCCGCCGTCGTTCCGTAAGAGAATTGATTGTGATTTGATTTCTGAATTGGGTTTGTGAAAGTCGCGGATAATTATGGGTTAATTGAATTGCAGAATGAAAGATGAAGAAGCCGGAGAGGTTCCCGTTGCGTTCGTGGTGAGATTGAAGAACTCTGAAGTAACTGAGGATGAAATTAAACAATTCATATCAAAGCAGGTACCCTTTTTTCAAATTCTTAGGAATCATAATGATATGATATTGTCCCCTACGAGCTGATCATTATTGAGTCTGGTTCTGTTTTTGTTTGCAGGTGGTATTCTACAAGAGAATCAAGAGGGCGTTTATGATAGACGCAATTCCGAAATCGCCGTCGGGAAAGATCTTGAGGAAGGAGTTGAGGGCAAAGTTGGCAGCTGGTTTTCCAAATTCTAATTAATTATTATTCTTCCTTTTCCAAATTCTCTCTTTTCTTTTGACTTTTTTTATTTTAAAAAAGAAAAAAATCAAAATATGGAAACTTGTTGTATGCAACTGCTTAAACAAACTCATTAAAGCTTTTTATATAAAGTGTCTTCGATTCTACATTGCATTGAATAGTATACCATATATTAATTACCAATCATTTCTAGCATATAGGACGTTTCATGTGTTTGATGTCACGATCGTTTTCAATAATGTGACGCTGTGATCTTGACATGTTGACGACAAGTCATGAGAGGAATCCGAGGCCCATATTCCTTTTTCGCACATCTTTGTGGCTTCATCGGATCTTAGGTAAAATTTGTCTTCGTCAACCGGACAACTTATGTTGAATTTAAGTTAATTCAGCCCCACACGCCGCCTACGCGTGCATGTTCAATCTTTTGTAATCTAACTTACTTGCATCTACACTAGGTCAAGTCATTCAACTCGACCTTACCTCTATTCGAGGCCAAGGTCTTTCAATTCAACGTCACATCTCAAATCATTGCAGTTCCCAATTAACATGACTCATACATGTTAACTTTATCCCAAGTCACGAGTTGTTCTCAGCTAGCATAGCTTGTTTGGTCATGTCCATTGAGAATGGGTCCATGTGTCGACATTCGAGTTCTATCGAGGCATTGGACACTCTCATGTCTACGCCAGTTTTGGACAGTGGGTGCATAATCCAACCTTCGACACATGGGCAGGGGGCGATGTCAACACACCCATATTGTTTGACATTGTCCTTGAAAGATCAATTTCAAAGGAAGTTACTCGAGACGCTCGTTTCACAACGCTCGACCTCACTGTAACATACACATGCCCATAGGGCCCAAGGGTGATAGGGAGCTAATATCATGTCTCAAATACATTTTGAGGTATTTCCAATCTGGCAGGTGTAAACATAATTTTGGCTAAAGATCATAAAGTGTCGTGGAGCATTCATCTGATAACACTAAATTTTGTGAGCTTTCATATTTCATATGAATGAACTTGAATCCAAAATCGCATGCCCAAATTCCCTCGAAAACTCTGACTTTTGAGGTTAAGGTTCGAAGCCTACCCAACCTTTCAACAAGTCTATCTTTGACACTCTCGTCTTATTGTTGCTCCTATCTTATTTCCCTATGTTATTTATGCATCGTCTTCTCTTTCGTGCACACTTTATATCTTACTTATGCCTCTTCTTCTCTTTCGTGCACACTTTATATCTTATTTATGCCTCGTCTTCTCTTTCGTGCACATTTTATATCTTATTTACCTATCTTATTTATGCCTCGTCTTCTCTTTCGTGCACACTTTATATGGTGTTGGATGATGCACCATCCTCCTTGGTCACATCATGGCACCATGAATTTATTTTTTTTTTTAACAATTATAGAATGATTTGTATTTCTTTACGAAGTTTTAATATCTTTTATCTAAAATTATATCATATGACAATATTAAACTATGTTGTCAATAATGAATTTATTTCGTTAATGAATTTGTTTTTTTGAACGATTATAGGTTGATTTATATTTTTTTATGAACTTTATATCGAATAATTATGAATGGTGAATAAATAAAAAAAAATTTATAAAAATAAACAACCCGACAACCCAACCCGAAAATAGAGAGTTGGATTGTAGTGTAAAATAGAGAGTTGGATTGTATTGTAAAAGTTTTTGGATTGGGTTACCAATCCAAATAAATAGAACTTTTGGGTTTGGTAAAAAAAATTGATCAACACAAACACGACCTGAACCATGTACGCTCATAGTTTTTAAACCCATAAATAAAATCTCAATGAAATACACATTCAGTAGGAATAATGCAACCTCTACTACTACATATTTCCAGCAAAACTCGTAACTCATCATAGACCGATCCACACCAGGTTTAACAAAGTTTTGTCTATCCTTTCTAAAACACCACTTTATTCAAGTTTAAGTGTTCCCCAAGCAAGTTAAGAGTTGGAATGTTATTTCATTTTCTATCCAATATCTTCGAAATACCAAATTCATCCGATCGGGGTGTTTTTAATAGATTTGCAAATAAAAGTACTCATTTAGTATTAAACAACACGCTCGTACATTTCTTGCGTATGCAGCAGCAGCAACAACAGGGCGTACATGGTACAGTCTAAATACACAATATTTCTGCAAGTTTAATTTCCTGGTTTCGGTTTACCTGACGACGGCTTAAAAACTCGCCTCCTCTGTTGTCGGTCGCCTCAAGAAATATCGTAAACTATTTGATATAACCTGTAAAATTCGACGTAAATCCTCAGTAACCCGCAACAATGTTGCATATTGTAACCAGTAATCTAATTGTTTACCAACCTGCTGAAGAGGTTTGATCAGGGCTTTGCCCCTATAGCTCACATGAAACTTGGTCTTAGCCAACAATCCCTGTACTCACAACAAACAAACTTGCAATTACCATGGAAGTTAAGTAGTAACCGTGAAGGACTGCAAATTACAAACTGAAAATAGTCACCTCGGTGTCGAATTCTCCAGATCCAACTGCGACGTTTATGTCAGTGATGATCTTCACAAGATCGACCAATAATCCCGGTCGATCAGCTGTCTCCACATACAGTAAGCTGTAAAGGGTAAAAGGAGAGTCTCACTTCATGTATGCAAGATTATGCCAATGATTTTCTACCCAATGCTAGCGTTACCTTCGGTCAGGACCGTCATCTCGAATGCTTATGTGCGTAGCAACGTCCACATCAACCTGAGAAATTATAACGTATGATAAATGAGGTAAAGGAGCAAACATCATTCCAATCGAGTAACCTACCGAGAGGATCCATGATTCGGTAACATGAGAGGTATAAAAGGTAGGAAATGATGCATAAAAAATATTGAAATGAATAGGTAGATCGAGTGACATGACATGCATTGAGAAGTAGAACAAGAGAGCAGACTCTTATCCTGATACAAAGGGAATAAATGTTGGGCGGTTTCTGCACTCTTATTCCTATCGATTTCTAAACCGAAGAAAACCAACATTTGAGCCTCTTGTTACATTGTTAACCCGCCACCTACCCCCACCCACTCACTTTGTGAGGTCCCACATCAATTGGAGAGGCATAAGAGTAAGAAAACTTCTCCTTTGCAGACGCGTTTTAAAATCTTGAGAGAAACCCATGAGGGAAAGTACAAAGAGGACAATATTTGCTAGCGGTGAGCTTGGGTCCTTACAAATGGTACTAGAGCTAGACACCGGGCGGTGTGCCAGCAAGGACGCTGGGCTCACAAAGGAGGTGGATTGTAAGATCCCACATCAATTGGAGAAGGAAACATAGCATTCCTTATAAGTGTGTGGAAACCTCTCCCTAGCGAATGCGTTTTACAACCTTGAGGAGAATCCCGGAAGAGAAAGCCCAAAAAGGACAATATTTGTTAGTAGTGAGCTTAGGCTGTTACAAATGTTATTAGAGCTAGACACCGGACAGTATGCCAAGGAGGACACTAAGCCCCCAAAGGGGTGGATTGTGAGATCCTAGAGAGGGAAACAAAGCATTCCTTATAAGGGTGTGGAAACCTCTCCCTAGCAGACGCGTTTTACAACCTTGAGAAGAATCCCAGGAGAGAAATCCCAAAAACGACAATATTTGCTAGCAGTGAGCTTAAGCTGTTACAAATGTTATCAGAGCCAAACACCGGGCGGTGTGCCAAGGAGGACGCTGAGCCCCCAAAGGGGTGGATTGTGAGATCTAGGGAGGGGAATAAAGCATTCCTTATAAAGGTGTGGAAACCTCTCCCTAGCATACACGTTTTAAAGGGAAAGCTCAAAGAGTACAATAGCTGCTAGCGGTGGGCTTGGACGGTTACACACCTATCCACCCACAAATAGAAATATAAACAATATCATGCAATAGCGGATAGGCATTTGAAATCGAAAGTTATATAAGACCTCTTGTTTTGGTGGCACAACCCCAAAGGCAGCTCCCATTGCTAACTGAGCACTTGATTCCTGAACAACCAACATCAAATTTAGGAACTCAAACAAGCAGGTCTCTAATAAACAGAGATCCACCAGACTATTATCTCTTGAACCATTACCGGATGATACTCAATCAAGTTGCTTATAATTGTCAAACGAATTGCCTCTAACAACTCTGGATCATCTACCTTTCTTCCAGTATCTCTGCATATTACCAAACCAATCAAGAACCAAAATCACAATGGAACAACTTTTAAGTTCAAATCTAATTCAAGGTGTTGCCATTCTACTATCACAATCTACCTTTCAATAATGTAAAAGACAGCCATAGAAGCGTGTAAACGTAATAAGCCAATACTTACGCCCTCGTGATGGAAAATCTGTTGTGTTTTCCAGAAGAATCCAAAAAGACATTCGCCTTCACAACATTCAGCCCCAGGTTTTTCAGAGCATTCATCTATAACCAATGCATTTTTAATGGCAATTATACGAAACAACGAAACAACACAACTCGTAAAGCTTTACCCTTTAGTATTATCATCTAGAAACAAGCTCTAAGGAATGGAATGCTAAAGATGACTTTGCCAACATGAAGAATTAGCTTTTTACCGTGTCGAGAAGAGCTCCAAGCCGATCACCAAAGGTTATTTCCACCACAGTTGCATCTTCATCAGAGTCCTGGTCTATTATAACTATGGGCGTTGGAATTGTATCAGTTTCACCGTTACTTCCATCCTCCTGTGCAACCACTCCCAAGAGAGAGGTCCGACAAAAATTAAGAACAAGCATGGACAATTGCAAATCATATGCATTGATTGATACCTTCAGTACCTGAACAGATGTAGCTGATGAAGCTCGTGGAATGCTCTTCATGGTGGAAGAACACCATCTGGTGAGGGATCAGGAACAAACATGTAAACATAACTTCACAAAAATGAAATTGATGTACCCAAATGTCACAATCAAAATGTTCTTATACCCAATTGTTATAGCGAAAACGGAAGCAAGATCAATCGCACTCACACACCCACAAACAGAAATTAAACAAAAAGACACGAAAACGTGGTTCAGAGAGAAGAAA